CTTTATGTCCAGTCTAGAAAATGGTCAGTTGAAGCCTACAATCCAAAGCTTTCAAATGTATAAAAGACATGTAGATGACACCTTTATTATTTGTAATAGTGATTGCAACTTGAATAATATATTAAATGTATTTAATGGTTGCCATCCTGCGATAAAATTCACACTCGAAATGGAGAAAAAGTCTAGCATTCATTTCCTCGATGTGAACTTATCAAGGAGGACCGATGGAACTCTGAAGAGATCGATTTATCGAAAGCTGTTATGGAATGGTCAACTGACAAATTTCTACACCTGGGCACCAATTGGTCGACAACGAAACCTGGTCCGGTCGCTTGCCACTCGCATTCGACGCATATGTAGCACTGATACTGTGGAAGATGAGTTATATCTTTTGAGAAAAATCCTAATAGAAAATGGATTTCCACTACGTTTCATAGATAAGAATATACATTCAAATCTTACAAAACGTGACTTATCATCCGTACCCAAGAAAATACTTTACATGGCCTTGGGATTCAAAGCGGCTCTAACTTACCATATCATGAAACGAAGAATATCACAGTCCCTGAAAAGAACACTCCCTGCTGCATCTCTGAGAATAGCCTTTACTAGCCGACCATTATTGTTCAATAACCTGAAGGACAAGATCCCGCTGTTGACCAACTCTATGTGCGTTTATCAATTCACCTGCTCGCGTGGAGCTAGGTATATCGGTCGTTCGACTTGAGTTTTGTCCAAGAGGATGCAAGAACACTATCTTGCATGGTTACGAAGGGGTGGAAGTGGGACAATAAGAAGCGCGATCATTGAACATCTGGTCGATAATGATCACCCTATCTCTATAGCCTCCGCCTTTAAAGTCATCTATAAAACAAAGAGTAATTTACCCAAATCCCTACGTACTCGACTCATCTGTATTGCTGAAGCTTTGGCTATCGAAACAGAAAAACTATATCTCTGTGTACAGAAAAAGTTCGTTCAACCCCACCAACTTTCATGATCTTAATCCCTCTATGCTAAAGTATGGTAATCCCCAATCATATTATGGCTCTATCAATTTTTCATTTTGTCTATTCAATTTGTATTCTCTTCCTTATTACGTTGACTGTTACTGCTGTCCCCGGTATTATTTCACTTGTTCCACTTGTCATTCTAAATCAATTCTTTTTTACAACGTTAAATTGAAATTTCACACAATCTTACGTAACGTGTTTATTTTATTCGATTTGTCTACCAATCCTATTATTGCACACACTTTTATTAAGTTCTATCCCTCCTATGAATTATTCTATATATGACATTAATTTGTTTTGCCACTTGACATTTAACTATGATTATAATCACAAACATTTTAGTTTTAATCGAACTTCATACTATTACATTAATGTTTTATGCATTCACATCTATGATTCTATTCCCTCACCGGATATAACTTCTTAAAAACCATATATATATACGATTGTACAGTTTGATAATAAATTCGTTGAAAAGAGTCTCTTCACTGAATCACTTGTTTTGACTTTCTAAATGTTACAAAGGGGATTTTCCATGATATATATATATATTAGTTTCAGTACAGTGGAGACAATCCAAAGTATCTAGAACATAGATTCAGAATTAAAGTCATCAAAAACGACAAACTGCATACAATGTTAAAAGAAAAAACTAACAAACTGTTATTCAGACAACACAGTGTAGAATGACAACTATCTAGTTTAGAGAACCGAAACGCCCTAAGAGAGTACCATACAAGTCAATCGAATTAAACAAGAAAACAATAGAGTAAAGCAAGTGACCGACTGAATGGTTTCAACGTAGAACTTTGCACCAATGTGCAGCAGTTCGAGTCGCCACACTCCCCTCCTTGTAGCACACAAAACAAGAGAAGAAAGTGAACAGAAATGCAAAACAGAGGCAGAAATCAGAGATATGAGACAAAAAGAATAGTAATAACGAAGAACAATATAGTTATATTGGATATTATAAGTCATAAAGAGTTGATGCATCCGCACCAGTCACTGAGAACGATTTTGAGTCATATCACCGATTGTATCCAGCCTTCATTGGTGTTTACCGTCCCGAGGACACCAACTAGCCAGGAAGTCTGCATCCTCCTACGTGACTGGCTTAAACTAACTGTTGTAGATTTTATGAACTGATCAAGCCATGTTTCAGTTTGACCGCCGCTGGCTTATTTCCAGCCTGACCCTATGTCAGCTAACATCGCCCGTCGTTGAGGAAGGCGATGACTATGCATGCATACGTGACACATTTCCTAACCATCTCAATCGATGTAATTTGACAGTCTCGTCTATTGATTTCCTTCCTCACCTAAAACTCGACCAATGCCTAACCTCAGTATTGCTCACACTATTATACCACTTCATGCAGAGATATAACGCAGGCACCTATGATCAAAGACAGCTATCCATGCCTTTCATGTCCTCCACTCTCAATGACCAAGTCCCACAGCCATAAGCGAGGACAGAGCGGACTGATGAGCAGTACACCTGCCCTTTAGTCGATAGTCGGATAACACATCTACGCCAGAGACGGCGTAAACTGTCATACGCGAAACTAGCCTTCTGTATGTGTGCTGAGATTTCGTCAGCGGACAACGTACTGGGACTAATGCAACCTCCCAAATAATTGAAGTGGTCAACACGCTCCACCAACCACTCCACTCCCTATTTCTAAGCTAGGAGTCAATGTAGTCCAATCCAGTCCTATCCTGCAGCCTCATCACATTATATTTAACAAGAGGAGAGAATCGCATGCCAAACATTCGCAGATTGCAGCTCAAGGTGTTCAGAAGACTGCATTTTGTCAGCGTCTTCACCTACAAGGACTGTGTCACCTGCATACTGTAAGTCAATGAGATTATTCCCTGCTAACAAGTCAATCCTGAGGCGCTGATGTCAGCAGTTAGGGTTAACCCCATTAGTACATCTATAATGAAACTGAATAGAAATGGGGATAGTGGGCATCCCTGACGGACACCACTAGTCGTCACCACTTCAGATGACAACTCGCCGTAAGCCCTCGCCTGGCTGCATGAGTTCGAATAGAGTGCCTTGATCAGTGGCAATGTATTTTCTCGGGATTCCCTTTACAGCCAAGCATCGCCAGAGTATCTCTCGGTCGACAAAATCGAATACCTCCTTTAGGTCAAGAAATATAACGATCGTTGGACGCCGGTGGGGAGTATGCCTATGTTCCAGAATCTGTCGAAGGGTGAAAATATGATCAATACACCCTCTTCCTGGTCTAAAGCCTGTCTGGCTCTCTTGTGCTTGCGCCTCCCGAGCACCACTCAGTCTACGCATGATTATTGAGCCTAGGACTTTAGATACCATATTAGTCAAGCTAATCCCCCCTGTGATTATCACAGGAAGACTTGTCTCCCTTCTTGTTTATGGGGATAATCAGTGAGTTACACCAACCCGATGGGACGTCCCCTGATTCCCAGACGCTGCTTAGAACCTCAGTTAATGCACATAGTAAACTGTTCTTACCGTACTTATATACCTCTGGAGTCATTCCGTCAGATCCTGCTGCTTTGCCTCATTTCAGACTAGTGACAGCCTTAGTAAATGCAGTTAGCGATGGAGGACCTGTATCTATATCCCATTCAGGGAGGTGTTGGATGTTCGGTAAGTAGCTCAACATATACAAACTCGAAGATTGTCAGAAGATGTAGCAAAGTCAAGGAAGACATCAGGTCAATGCAGAGAAAACACAGATGTATTTAAGATACCTGATCTAAATTAAAAAAAACATAGAACACCATCAGTGAAGAAAATCTAGAGAAGTTAGTCTCTTCCATTTATTCCGCTAGTATCTTCGAGAACTACAGGCCAGTATATATATATATATATATATATATATATATATATATATATATTAGAGTGGAGTCAGAGATGCGGATCTATTTGACAAGTAAGTATTCCTTCGCCCAGTACTTTTTCTTTCCATATAGGGAAATGAATTAAAAGTTAACAAGTGATATTGTGTAGATTGTGAACTTTTTATTGTCTGATTTCACTACATTCATTCATTTCTTGAATATTATATTATTTATTATTATTTCCTTTAATTCCTAGAGGAATATAAGGCTTCGGCTGCACGTCTGCATTGCTTTCAGTTCTCTGCTAAAGTTTTCACCTGGCTCCAGGTCTGTCCACATGTTTTCATCTCCTCTTCACATGACTGTACAACAAAGGTTTTGAATTCTACGCTATTTTCCATCAGGTCCTGCTGCTTTGCACCGTTTCAGACTAGTGACAGCCTTCATAACCTCAGTTAGGGACAGAGGACCTCTTTCTATATCCCATTCAGGGAGGTGTTGGATGTTCGGTAAGTTGAGTGTGGCCGTAGGTCAATTAAACTGCTCGTCAAAGTATTCTTTTCAGCGTCTCAGTCGTGTATCCTGGGAGCAAATTATGGTACCATTTTCCTCAGATATTGTTTCACTTATCAGTTGCCTTTTGCTCCCTGTTTCCCTGATAAGCCTAAATAGTTGTCTGGTGTTACCAATCGCCGATGCCTTTTCCATCTCTTTCGCTCTTGTTGCCCACCACTGTTCACGGTCGTTGTGAAGACTTCTTGTTAGTTTTCGTTTGAGTAGCTTTCGCCCCTCATCATAATCGGAGATCGCCGGAATCAGTCATCTTGCGTCAATCAGTCAGGATGAGGTGGTAGAAATCCAATGGCTCTTACTAACTTTAGGTTTCATGTTATTAACAGCTTTTACAGTTGCGTCTACAGCTAACTGTATGTTGTGTCAGGCTACCTCAGGAAGAGTCCTGCTGTCGACCTCAGATACACGTTTCACAGGTAGATTGGTGTCTAAACCAGAAACCTGATGGTTTAAAGTTCACAATTTAACCAAAACTCTAAAATCGAAAGGGAATAGTTTGTCCACTGAAGCATATAAAGTCTTCATGCTTAAATATTTACTGTTTCTCAGACAGGATAAAGGAGAGAAAAAGAAAAACATATGAATAAAGAAAGCAATGTATTGTTACAAATACAAAATATATGTACAGTCGCTCTCTCTCTCTCCATCATTTTGTTGCCATCTACAAAAAAAGTAAAAGATTTTAATTAAACAAAAGTACAGTTGCTTACTCTAAACTGTTCTTCTATATTTGAAATTTCACTGATAAGATCTTTCAAAGCAGATACAAAAACGTCCACAGGTGTCGCTGGATGAGCTGTATGCACTCGAATAACTATTTTGTGCTCTAGAGGATGAGGTGCTTTATATCCGGCAAATAGTACTCTCGGATCTTTGAGAAGTTGACTAAACCAGGAAAACAAAAATTAAAAAAATGTAATAATTTGAGATGAATTATACACCAGCTAAAAATTTAGAATCTGTTGTTGAAAATTTTTTATAACAATACGGTTAGAGAACGATTATCAACTAAAATAGCTCGTACAAATTTATTTTGCTGTCATTATAGCCCAACTGGATTTGTACCCAACACTATCAATAGAAGACGTTATGAAATGGAAGTAATAGACGTATAATAAGTAGTGCAATAATCGAACATCTCGTCAACACTGGTAATTCCATCTCAACAAACGCCTCCTGCTTCAAAGTAATCTACAAAGTGAAGAACAACCTTCTAAAGACAGTACGATTTCGTCTTCTTTGCATCGCAGAAGCCCTAGGCATTCAGTTGGAGGAACCAGAACTGTGCATACAACAGAAAATTAGTGAACCACTTCTACTCTCATGATAACAACTCCGTTGATTTAACTTAACTTTTGTTCGTATGCTTATTTTTCTAACTACTTAAAGCCCTTGTGTAATTCTGTATATTATTTTGTTTGCATGTACACTCTGAACACAACTCATTCATCAAACTATTCATGCCATAACGTAACTCTTATTTAACAATCATTTGTGACAACCTATCACTTTTGTTACTACCCTCTTACATCAATATCCAATTCATCTGAACTTACTAATTGTATTTTCGTTTGACAAATTTAATGTATACACACACATACATACAAAACAACCATATATATTTTCGATTGTACAGCTATGAAAATGAACTCGGTGCCGAAAAGATACTCTTCGCTGAACTACTTGTCTTTCGTCTACTAATGTTCGAATGGGAATTGTTCACGAACGTTATGAAATGCTTAAAACTTTGTTTACAGTCAACCTATTTCACCTTTAAAGACAAACTATAATGTCAAACAAATGGAGTTACAATGGGATCACCAGCATCTCCAATTGTGTCGAACCCGTATACGAAAGCTCTGGAAAGAAAAGCACTGACAAGTTTTATTTGTCATCCTAGAATATTGTACAGATATGTAGCTGACACATTTATCTTCATGAAGAAAGCTTAATTAAGATTAATTTGTCTTGAATTCTTAGGAAAGCTTACTACCGTCTGTGAGTGCTTCTTACCTCCTACTTCATGAAGTCTCTGACAGTCGATTTGAGTAATGTAGGGGGGGGGGGACGCAGACCTTCTACTTGGAGATGCTAAGAACAAATGACTGCAAACTATTGATGATACAGCAGGAAATAGCTCTCAGCTTTTCTATGACCCCCTATGTCCACTATCCCGTCATTCTTTCCCCCTCCTCCACCACATTTTTGCTTATAATAGTTTTTTCAAACAACTTTTTCTCTCTTTTTGTCCTCCTTTTTTTATGCTACAAGGAGAGTAGTAAATGGAACTGCTACACTTTTGTGCACGAAATTGATTTGTTAAGAACCTAGTCAGTCAGTCAGTCAGCAGGCTAGGACTTGAAAAATCACATAAGTTGTTTCGCATTATTTTATGATGTTATGATGTATGCATGTATGTATTTATACTGGAAACAAGGTTAATACTTCGATTTTGTAATAAATACGTTCGATCGAATAAAGTTGTACTGAAACCTTTACTGTGAAATTAATACGAGAATGATGAAACAGATAGTTTCGATTACTATGATCCATAATAGAGTGACAGAAAATCCCGAAGAGTAATTCATACATAGTTCACCTCAAACAAGGGTAAACTCAAACTTTCTCTAGCTAAGGTGAAAAAAAACAATGTTGAGTTTTGTTGGACATGACAAATCACAAAGAGCGAATGTATCTGCGCCAGTCAGTGAGAATGATTTTCAGCCACATCACCAATTGTCTGCAGCAGTCATTGGTTTTTACCATCTCGAGGAGACTAACCAGGAAGTCTACATCTTTTTACGTGGCTAGTTCAAACTAACTGTTGTGGATTTCATTGACTGATCAAGCCACGTTTCCGCATGACTACAACTAGCTGTTTTCCAACCTGATCCAGCCTATGTCAGTTGACATTGCCCGTCGAGGAAGGCGATCGATGGCTAGGCATGCGTAAAACACGTCTCAACCAACTCAATCGGTGTAACTTCACAACTCCGTCAAACGATTTTTCCTCCTTATCGGAGAGAGTTCGGATAAGGTGGAAGAGATCCAATGGCTCTTACTGACTTTCGGTTTTAGCTTATTAATAGCTTTTACAGCTGTGTCTACAGCTAAATGTATGTTGTACCAGGCTACCTCAGGAGGAATCCTGCTGTTGACCTCAGATACACGTTTCGCCATTTCCTTCTTAAATAGGGACTCAGTGTCTCGATCTAGTTGGGGACATAATTGCTTCGCTGCTAACAATTCTTTATGTCCATTAAGTCACAAGCTTAGACGTGCACGAACCAGGGCGTGATCGGAGTCTATGCAGCAGTCTTCCACTGGCCCTCGCCAATGATACCCCGTCACTATGTGGTCTTCCTGAGTCCAACATTGATTTGGTGATGGAGGTCACCAGGTTAGACAATGTCTCTCTTTGTGCCTAAAGTTAGTGCTGACTAGGAACAGGTGATTATCTGAACAAAACTGTAGAAAACGATTACCGTTGTCGATTCGTCGGCGGAGAACTCCATACGTACCAACTACATACTTTTCAGTCTGGCACAACTTCCCTACCTGGGCATTGAAGTCGCCTGCTAAAACAACTATATCTGAGTGTTTTGTTTTTCGCAGCAATCTGAACAGTTTCTGGTAGAATCACCCCTTAGTTCATCTAAACTGCAGTCGTTTTGGAGCGTAAGAGGAAACTACGAAATGTCAACGACGGGTAGTGCTGTCCTTCCTTCCTCTAAAGGACCCGTTTAGACTGATCGCACACATACAACTATCTGCTGGGATCCAGTCAAGAAGCGATTTATCTTCCCTAATATTCAATGCTATGCCTACATCCGTGAGTTCTCGAAAACTAGCCGAGGAGTCTCCTGACGCCCTTAAAGTGGTATTTACAGATTCACCTTGTTGGCCGGGTGAGGTTAAGTGAATGACCAAACTCGAGTCTTGTATGCGTGTCTCCAAAACACAATAGACATCCATGGCTCGAGATGCCAGAGTTCTGGCTAGCGATGCCTATTATCCGATTTGGCAGAGGGTCCCGACGTCAAATGCACCAATATGAAGTTGGCGGTGTGGCTATCAGAAGCTCTCGAGAGTATTTTACCGGCTCTCATTATTATTTATGGTCGCAGAATGACATGAAAATGACTGACTAGCCTGCAGAATAGTACTGACAGTATTAGGGAAGCAAGATGATGAGCGTGGTAGAGATAAAGGAGGAGGAGGAGGATCAGGAAGGCTTCGTGTGCTTTTCGAAATGAGTGGGTGATTGTTACTTCCTGGTTGCCCACACCGCGGAAGTTGACTTATTCTTGGAGTTCCATTATGGGTAAATTTTGTTTTGATAAAGTCTCACAGTGTTATACAGTAATGTTTACTGATGACGTTTCGAGCACAATTTATTGCTCATAATCATATCAAGGTAATCACACGACTTCCTAAATTCATTTATATAGTTCCATTGTTTTTCTCTTGATTTTCACTTGATTTGATTGGTAATAGTATTTTCCATATTTCAGGTATGAGTGACGAGTCATTCCTATTGCATGTGTTGGGTGTAGACTCGATGAACAAGGATTCAGTAATCAACCTCTCTCTCCACCTACCTAGATTACTTTTTAGAATTTTAACCCTCTCCCACCCTGTTGTGTGGTTGTGTGTTAGCGCATGCATTGCAATTGCTGAACTCTTTTCTAAATTACCTATCTTCTCGGGGTCAACCATTCTTACCTTAGCTAAATTCTTATGCTCTGACAATCTGACTACCCGTGACCTACTAGTTTGACCTATGTAGTTGACTTCACAGTCATTGCATGGCATTTTGTAAATAATATTATTTTGTCTAATTGGGTCAACTGGGTCCTTTAACCTACAGAGCTTGTCCCTGAGTGAGTTTGTAGGTTTAAATGCCACCCTGATTCCTATTTTATTCAGAATCCTACGTAGTATCTCAGATGTCCCCTCTGTAGGTTAAAGGACGCAGTTGACCCAATTAGACAAAATAATATTATTTACAAAATACCATGCAATGACTGTGAAGTCAACTACATAGGTCAAACTAGTAGGTCACGGGTAGTCAGATTGTCAGAGCATAAGAATTTAGCTAAGGTAAGAATGGTTGACCCGAGAAGATAGGTAATTTAGAAAAGAGTTCAGCAATTGCAATGCATGCGCTAACACACAACCACACAACAGGGTGGGAGAGGGTTAAAATTCTAAAAAGTAATCTAGGTAGGTGGAGAGAGAGGTTGATTACTGAATCCTTGTTCATCGAGTCTACACCCAACACATGCAATAGGAATGACTCGTCACTCATACCTGAAATATGGAAAATACTATTACCAATCAAATCAAGTGAAAATCAAGAGAAAAACAATGGAACTATATAAATGAATTTAGGAAGTCGTGTGATTACCTTGATATGATTATGAGCAATAAATTGTGCTCGAAACGTCATCAGTAAACATTACTGTATAACACTGTGAGACTTTATCAAAACAAAATTTACCCATAATTGAATTACACTCTACCACAGTGCACAAGTTTTATTCTTATATTATTCTTGGAGTACCTGAAGCAGAAAGAGAACTAGTGTTGCATGACAGCAGAGCCCCGGGGTCAACTTATTTCGGTTTTTTTCGATTTTTATTTCGATTATAGCTTGAAACCACACCGTATTTTTGGTACAAGTATGGAATTTTCAGCATGTGATGTCGGTAGCCCAAATTTTGCAGACCGACAATTGATATCAGGTGTGCGTCGGCAGGGGGTCGAACCACAGACCATGAGGTCTGTGCCACCGAAGCACTGCTGGAGGCAGATCACACACGGCCTGTTTAAAATGGCTTTTTGGTTTGCTTCCGTATTAGTAACTTACATCCGGCTAAGAACAATCGCATGGTAAATCGGGATATGCAGTTTTCGGGGTAGACCTTTTCTAACACCCTCTCTCCAGAGGGTGTCTGTCCAGGGAGAGACAACATAGCTGGTCTGTTTGTCATCTAAGCGAAACACCTAATTGCTGTAACATCCCCGTTCCCCAACAGTACGACTTTGCCCATACACCCTCGCAGCATAGTGTAGAAAATCTGCCGGTAATCGCTCTCATTCTAATAGATATCCTAACAATCTTCCTGGCATGGTATGACCTGCAGGAACATTAGCTCCGCCAGTATAGATTTTTTGGGTCATTGCGATATGCAAGCCCGACCACCAAGTCAAGGTAGCAGCTATTGGTCGGGAGCCTATTTACTGGACCACTGGTTTGTGCACAGTCACATAGTCTAGCATCTAAAATTCCCATATTTCAGTTAAGCCATGAAGCAGTATTAGATGTCTAGGAGCCAATTCCTATTTTGCAGTTTTTTCCAGAGCCCTAATTTTGCTAAGTAACAGACCTACAAACTCCAAATTCCGCTGATTCTTTCCCTTATATTGCATGAAGTACTGGGATCGCTACAAAAAAAGGAGTTTATCAACTATTTTTTTTTGTTCATAGACGCATATTAGCGGCATCAGAAAAGATCAGATCATCCATCTATAGATGCCTAAATGACAGCTTATGTATAATAATTTGGGTGTTTTATTGAAGAATCCATCAGCAACCAAGGAGACCATGTGATATATAAAATTGTTTGCAAATTTTTAGTCTTTCTCTTGAGTAACAAAAAACTGCAGGATATTTGGCTGTTTGTGTACAGCTCGACCCACAATAGTAACGGTTTAAGTTGACACAAGCTAAATTTCACACAAAGGAAAACCATTCAAAGGAAGTGTAATGGACAAAAATGTACAGCGACTTATAATTACCAGATAGACATCGACAAAAGCACGAAGTACATATGTAAGATCGGTAACCCGTATTCGTAGTAAGAAATTAACACAGAAACACATTGAGGGAATCTTATATCACAGACAAAAACACAAAACGGAATGTGACACGCAATTTTTAAGTAGGAAATCCTTTTAATACAGACACATTATAAGCAAAAAGTGCCGGTGCAGATTGAAAGTAATCAGTTTCCTTCTAATACAAGTGTAGGACGGGAAAGTACGCTACTGTTTGACTGACTTAGCTCCATCACGAAACTTCGCACAGAAGTGCAGCAATTTGATTCGGCCCACGCAATATAGCACAAAAATGCACATATAATATTGCAAATGACGGGACAATCTGTGACTAACTTCCTTTTCATGTAGTATTTCCAATGTCTTGACATCCTTGAATTGTACAGCATTTAAGATAATATAAACTTTTCTGACGAGCCTCTCACCCATAATTTAATCTCACAGGACACATATTTACATTTAAAACCAATCCAGCTGTGAGGCTATTAGTCTCTAATCAAATTCACAACAGTTTACAACAAATAGCAGTGACGTAACAACCCGAGTAGTTGTGAGGTTTAATCAAGGGAAAAACAGCTAGGAAACCTATTTGTCACATTTTTTGACATTAGAGAACGCTTGATGAAATATAACATTAGTGCGAAGAAAACTAGCGACAAACTTACCACGTTAACATATTCCCAACTGTATGGTCCTCTCTGTTCAGGGTGAAGATAGCAGCATTAGGCACTTGCGTGTCTTTTTCAAATGAAATCCTAAAAGTGATGAAAAACAATTTAAGAGGGCCCACTTCTTTTCGCCATCCGCTAAGAGAAACGGCTCAAAAGATGCTGGAGCATTCATAGTAGCTCACAACTTTGTAACTACGGGTGAGGAGGTTGGCCCTGAATACGAAGTTCAATAAATATGTGCATGTCATTTCTAAAATTTAATTTAAATACGTTTCCCCAGTGTCTTTTTTTATGCTAAGAGTTTTTTTAGCTCTAATTTTACAATAACTCCTGCTTTTTCCTGAATTACTCGTAACTAGCCGAAGAATTTCTTTCAATACTATGTTTAAACGGACTGATGGAATAATAATGATTTACTTTATTCCAAAAACAGTACTTGTGATACAGAATGGAATTTTCAGCATTAATCACAATCTTGCATCTAATTTCCTCAAATTATAAATAAAAATTAATCACACAGAAAATTTTCCACATTTACAATAGACACATTGGGTCATAGGAGTTATTAAGAAGACAATTGCAGCGAAGAAAATTTTCTTTTCGACAAAGTCATCATCTTGGCTGTACATTCGTGTATTTATATGACATTTTAATTCCGGGTGAGGATATACGTGGCTGCGTGTTATATTTTCCGCGACTCAGTTTTTTTCGTCTTTCATTGGCTAGAATGGTGGCGGTCAATTGGAGTTTGAATTGTCTTTGGGTGCGTGCTGTCGGGTGCTGTCTTTGCGTGGTTGTGTTTGCGTCGTTTGCCATCATATGTGATTACTATAAACGTGTATCAGACTATTGTAACGCTTTGTTTTTCTTTGTTTGTGCATGTACTAGGCTTTATTTGTGGTACAATTCGTTGTTTGGTCTATTGGTTGCTTGCGATGTCAACGAACCGGTGGGTTCTTGTGTTTTTCTGTAATTTAGGTTATACGTGCGGCATTTTCTTGATGGTTATTGATCATCCCTGTATTTCAATGTTGGTTTTTTACGATTTATCTTGGAATAGTTGTGACATAGATGGATCCTAATTGATAATTTTATTTTAGTCCGTTGCAGGTAGTCAATTCCAGTGACAGGAGCACAGATTTAAGTGGAATTTTTGCTGAATACATACTTGGAAGGCGTTTCTTCAGCTGGGATGAATTTGAGAAGTCACTGGCAGAATTCCAAAAAGTGAGGAAGTCATTTAATGCTAACAATAAAGTTGTCCTGCACTCACTATGTTCATAATTGCAGCAAAATGATACCGGATGACAGGTTTAAGTACGCTTATGTTGGTTTTAAATGCACTTTTGGAGTGAATCGTACAAGACCTGGATTGAAATTGAAAAACAAGTCGTAAGAAGAAGTGTAATATGATTTCATGAATATTTCAGGTCTAAATGTTGCAATTGCTCGTCTTCATTTCGCGTGGTTTTGCGTTATAGTGAATACATAATTGCTTCCCACAATATGGTACATAACCATTCATGCAGCAGGGTGTACATGCAGAATGACCCATGGTTTAGACGACTAACAGTTGAAGAGAAAGAAAATGTGGAACCACTTCTTCAGCAATCCCACTCTTTTTTTTTTTTTTTTTTTTTTTTTTTTTTTTTTTTTTTTTTTTTTTTTTTTTTTTTTTTTTTTTTTTTATGAAAGCCGCAGTTACTAAAGGAAACGTTGACGTACTTGCTAAATACTTAAGGTATTTCGAGTCGTCGTGACATTTTTGAATTCCTAAAATCCCGTGGGAAGTTAATGGAGTATTATTCCGATGAACCGATCAGGAATTCACTAACAAGAATTTGTTTTGCAACTTATGAGCAAATGGAATTGTATAAACAGTTCCCTGAAGTTGTTGGTATCGACTCGACGTATAATACAAATAAGGGGAAGTAAGTTTACCAATTCATTAATCAACGTGCAGGTATTCTTTGTTCCAGTTACTTGTGACGGATAATTTTGGTCGAGGACGACCAGTTTTATTTGCGTGGACTAGAAAAGAATTCAAACGAGATGTAGTTTGGATATTAGACTGTTTTCGTCAAATAATGGAAGACACCTCCAAAACAGAATCTTTCATTATGGATTGTGCGCAAGCTGAAATAGCAGCCGTCAAGTTAACGCACAGACAAGCGCACATTGTTTTGTGTTCTTTCCATGTTTGCCGAGCATTCTGTCGGAAAGTAAGTTTTTCAAAGCATACTTTACATTTTATTCGTAGACAAGAAATCCCATTGTGAAAAACTATTTATGCCGTCAAGTGCAGTGTAAAAGGAGATCAGAGTAATGCCTCTAATGTTCTCATTTTCCAGATTTAATTTCTACTTCAGAGTTATTAGCAGATTGGATGCTACTGTCAGTCAATATCTACAACGTCGTTGGATGCATCGACGAGAATTGTGGGCAGCATGTTTCAGAGACAACGTGCTGACTTTTGGGTATGAAACAAATAATCGCGTCGAGAGTTCCCACAAGCAAATGAAACGTTACTTACAAAGATCAGATAGTTTGCATAAAAGTATGCTGAAGGTGTTTAAATGGTATCAACAAAGTTTTGCAAGGATACAGCAGGAGGCGACTATTGCTCAGTCGCGATGCTTCACCTATCCCTGTTCACAACGTCTACTCCCAATTATACGATTGCTGACGCCATACGCTGCGAGGAAGGTTATCCGTGAATACGAAAGGCGACGATGGGCTGTTGTTGAGGTTGAATCCTTCGATTATGTATTCTTCCAAGACAACGGGAATCGAGTGGAGGTTGATCTGAGTGCTTGCACCTGCACGTGCGTTACATTTCAGACCTGTCGGTACCCCTGCAGACACTTGCTTTTGGTCCATTTCAGAAAGCCGTATTTCACAGGTATATTAGCGTTTTTATGACTCCGTTTTTAATGTATGTCGAGCGAAACTTGATTAATTATTGTTCTTATATACGGAAAGTTGTAATTTTCATTACCGTATTCGTGTGTACGATGCGTTAACTGGAAACAGGACACAAGCACTACCATCATTGCACCTGTAATAATCAGTTCATAGTTATCTTAACGTTTTTTGTTCCACCTTTTGTAGTTAACCATGTGATGCATAATTGTAAACAATGGACGTGGTCACGCAACTTGTTCGCATCTCAAAGTACGTCAGCAGTTATCCCTCGAAATCAACGTGACATACCGAAAACCAAAAAGAGTATTATCAATGCGGGCATTACGAGAATTAGTGACAAATTTGGAGAAGTGTTTGCCAATACTTATGCAGACGGAGTAATCGCAGGAATCAATCGTGTTCTTAATATGTAAATAAACTAAATTTGTATCATAATGAAAATAAAATTTTCATGTAAATTTTGTTGTCTTTCAATTCATGTGTTCACTTTGTGAGCACGGCATGCTAGACCGGTGCTCTCTAGGACTTTCACTACTAACAATACGTAAGTGTAATTGTGTAGGAACGATGTCGGTCAGCATACGTGTTAAATTATAAGTATTTCAGTTAGCTAACGTGCATACGTCTCATAGTCATATACAAGTCTTTAGGGACAATAGTAGGCATAACTTAGGCACTGCATTCGAGTTCCAGTTCTTATACGGTTACGTGTATTCGAAAGTATTGCATTACTAATGTTTCACTTAAAGCGTGATGTCAATCCATATGACTAAGGCTGTTGACATGTAGCGTAAATTAAAGTCTACACCAGACGAATTATTGAATTCGTTGAGCTTTAGCAATCGTATTTAGATTTAGCTTACACTAAAATATGCCACCAATTACTTCGTCAGTTCTTATTAATAAGTCATGTCTGCACCTAGTCATCATGACAAATATATCTACACTCAGATATAATAAGAAAGGTCTGGTAAGCAGGATATTAAATGTATTTAATGAAAAATAATAACAAGCAAATGTCTTTACGCAGTCGTTTGTCGTAATAATTTGTGCAATGTCGAATCTCTGTGACCGGGTTGACTGACGTTACCGGATATCTACAAATAAGTAAACAAGTGTTTTTTAAATCGCTGAAGTAAGAAAGAAGTAATATCAAAGTTAAACGCTTTATATTTGCCTACCTTTGCTGAAAATGGTTCATTCTCCTTTCTCATTCTTTGTTCATGACATCATTCTTCTGTGGTTTTCACTGCCACACACATTATTCATCTTCTAAAGGATAGCAGCAAGCATATAATAATAATTTCAAATTTCGTATAAACCAATGTTTACAAAGAATGCATGTCATTTCTACAGGCGCAATAAGTTATGTTATAAACTGCAATCGTGAAGTATCATAAATTATAAGAGTTAAATTGTAAACCCTTAACAATGAACACCGTACATTTGGCTAAGTGCTATGTCCTTGGAATGTGAGTATACATTTGCAATGTTTAATGCCAACCATATTGGTGTAAGCATAGAAAATATGACGTTTTCCATGAAAGTACAGCTTTGTTCAAACACTGGTGTTGTTGTGTTTCTAATAAAAGCAAATAGACTGTAAGCAAGCAACTAATAGGCACAAAGAGTAAGTCTCAGCTTTAATAAAGGCATATCCAGTTAACATAAAATGCGGTGTAATAGTGCACAAATGAAAAGACCATAGTGAAGTAGATAAGTGATATTTCAGTGAGAGGTAAATTGAAAGATCTGCAACCTTACAATTTGGAAGACAACCTGACATGTAAGATCTCTCACAAATTTCTATAGGGCCTGTGGGGTACCATGGATGGTTTGGCGTCAATCGCAGCTTTGGAAGGATGAGTTACAAATGCAAAAGGTAACAACCAACGAAACTGCAGTAGTATTTTCTAGCTGTTCAGCATTTTTTCCTTTGATGCAGTTTCTTATCAACAGTTTGCAGTATTCAGAACATCACAAGTTGCTTACAGATAACTTGTTTAATAATAACTGCTTTAAATGTATGAGCCATAAGTGCATCTTCTACATCTTTCATAGCCACAATGAAGTCATTAAGGATCTCAGAATATCTTAGTGATGTGAAGCAAAATAATTATTAAGATTGATATAACCTATGTAACAGGTGTAGTAGTTGTATGACACAGCTGCTAGCTACTAATCGACAGAAATCTGGTACTAATTTTAAGTACTCTGACATTTGAGAAGGACTATTTATACTATTCTTCGAGACACGATGAACAATGATGTCAATATACTCTGATGCCATTTCATGCACTGAGCAATTAAGGCCTTGTGAAATTCTATGTGCAAATGTCAATTAAACTATTATCACATCTTCGCCAAAGCACTTTTAACTAGGAACTTCATCAAAATAGATATAATCACCAGGAAATTCAGCAGCCTACCTCATTCATCGCATAATGTCGTCGATGTGTTATGAGTATTTCAGTCATCCCGGATGATAACAGAAAAGTTTAACATGTTCAAAGCACACATCTAACCTATGTCTGCATGCTATTTCTCTT